CGCGCGTTCGTCCGTGACCAGTCCGCTGCAGATAACGGGATACCCTCAGGTACCGTTAGACCGCTCCGCGGCAGGTGTCCGGTACACTCGACCGACGCTACGGCTCCGTGCTACGTGGCGTCCAAGATGGCCGCCTGTCAATATTATTTTCTTGAAATTCTTCTAATTCCACTTGTGGTTCGCTGATCACCGAGATCTATAGCTCAAAATAAGCACACTGCAAGACTGCACAAGCACAATTGGAGGGAAGTCCCTCCTCTTCCCAGTTCTTGCAAGATCGAAGGTCGAGTATCCAGGCGCGTAACCGGCGAGCGGCGGTGACGCCAAAACACCTATCTTCTGCTTTCTCCCTTGAAAATCCTTCCAGCAACACAGAATTCCGGCCACTGGTAGACTTCCACTTCACAATTCCTCTGATGTCACTTTCTCGAAGAAATCCTCAGTTTTAGACACCGAACTTGACTCGGAACGCGGAGCGACGTGAAATCGACCGCACTGCTCAAAGCCAGGTAGGCGACTCCGCAGTGTATATCAGAAAAGTCGCAGCTATCAAGACCTAAACCCGGAGGAAGCGGAACATAAGCAAACATAGCATGACTAAACCTAACGCGCCGAGACCGTCATTGCTGCCCTCCCCTGATCTTAGCTGAACGTACTAGATCACAGTAGAACGTAGAAATCCAACGAATAGCAGTATACAGCACCAAAGTTGAAGCTACCTTTACCAAACTTAGCATAACCCAACCTAACCGAACGTAACATAACTCAACCTATTGTGCCGCGACCGCAACTGCTGGCCTCGCCAGAGACAAGCAGAACACATTAGAGGATGGTGCAAGGCAGAAATCCATTGAATGGCTGCGTATATCGGAGAATTCAAAGCTGCTCACGCCGAACACATTCCAACGGAGCACAGACAATCATAGCATAACTAAACCTAATGTGTTGAGACCGCAATTGCTGCCCTACCCAGAGCGAGGAAGGATATACTAGAGCACTGTAGAGCGCAGAAGTCCAATGTACAGCAGTGTGCAGCATAAAAGGTAAAGCTATCCTAACCAAACTTAGCCTAGCCCTACCAGACCGAACGTAACATGAACCAGCATAACGTGTCCAGACCAATATTGCCCGCATTTCTATAACCAAGCAGAAAACATTAGTGCAATATAGGGTGCAGAAATTCAACTAATGGAAGACTATAGCACTAAAGATAAAGCTATCATGTCCTAGCTTAACCAATCGTAACATAACCAAACGTAACCTAACCCAACCTAACTTGCCGCGACCGCTATTGCTGGCCTCCCCGGAGTCAAGCAGAAGATATAAGTGCAGAGTAGGACGCAGAAATCCATAGAATCTCAGTGTATATCAGAAAATTCGGAGCTACCCAATCCAAACCCAATCCTACAGAACATAGCCAAACATAACCTAACTAAAACTAACGTGGCGAGACCGCTGTTGCTGCCCTGAAGCAGCGCATACAAGAGCTCTGTAGAGCGCAGGAATCCACCAAATAGCAGCGTGCAGCACAAAAGTTAAAGCTATAATAACCAAACATAGCATAACCCAAACTAACGGAACGTAACCTTGCACAATATCACGTGCAGATGCCTCCATTTCTAGGCGTCCCAGAACCAAGCTGCATATATTGAAGCACAGTAGGGCGCAGAAATCCACCTAATATCAGACAACGCAAATTTGAAGCCATACTCTCCCAACAAAACCAATCGTGTCAAAACCGAACGTAACGTAACTCAACCTAACATGCCTCGACCACTATTGCTGGCCTCCTTAGAGCCAAACAGGACACATTAGTTTAGGGTAGATCGCAGATATCCAAGGAATCGCAGTGTATATCAGAAAAGTCATAGCAGCCCGAACCTAACCCAAACTAACGGAACACAACAAAGCTCAGCCTAGCTCAACCTAGCGTGCCGAGAAACATATTGCTGCCCTCCCCTGCGCCAAGCAGGACATACTAGAGCACAGTATAGCACAGAAGTCCAGCGAACTCCAGTGTACTGCACAAAAGTTAGAGCTATCGTGACCAAACCTTGGCTTGCCCAACCTAACCGAACGTATCCTGACTCAACGTAACTTGCCGAGACCACTATTGCTGGCCTACCCAGAGCCAAGCTTGAAATATTACAGCTCTGCAAACGCAGGAATACGCCTGATAGCAGACTGTAGCACTAACGACAAACCTATACTCTCCCAACCTAACCAATTGTAACATAACCAAACGTAACCTAACTCAAGCTAACGTGCCGCGACCACTATTATTGGCCTCCCCAGAGTCAATCAGAGCACATAATGGAAGAGTAGGGTGCAAAATTCCACCGATCAGCAGTGTATAGCATAAAATTCGAAGATATCCGTACCTAACCTGACCTATCCTGACCCAACCAAACGTAGAATAACTACACCTAAGGACACGAGGCCTCTTTTTCTGTCCTCACCAGAGCCCTGCAGATCATATTATAGCACAGTAGAGTGCAGTGATCCACCGAATAGAAGCGTGCAACACAAATGTCAATGCCATCCCAACCAAACGTAACCAAACTCTACCTATCGTGCCACGACAGCTATGGCTGGTCTCCCCAATGCTCAGCAGAGTATAGTATAGCAACGAAGGGCGCAGGAATCCACCGAGTAGCAGGGTACAGCGCAAAGTCAAAGCTACCCTATCCTCACCTAACCAGTCGTAACACTATCAAGCGCAACATGTCTCAGATTAACGGGCCGAGAAAGACACTCCTGGCCTCTACATAGACAAGCAGGGTATGATAGAGCACGGCAGAGCGCAGAAATCCACCAAATAGCAGTGTACGTCACAAAAGTTAAAGCCATCACTTCCCAAACGAACGAACCGTAACATGACTCAGAGTAACGTGCCGCGAACACTAATGCTCGCCACCCCTGATTCGAGCAGAGTGTAGTAGAGCACAGTAGAGCGCCGGATTCCACCGAATAACAGTTTATAACAAGAAAGCCAATGCTATCCAAACCTAACCCAAACAAGTATGACGTAACCGAACATAGCTTAGCTCAACCTAACGTGCCGAGACCACCATTGCCGGCAACCGCAGAGCCAAGCAGTGCATATTAGATCAGAGTAGATCGCAGAAATCCACCGAAGGGCAGTGTACAGCGAAAAAGCGGAAGCTAAACTCTCCTAACCTGACCAAGCGTAACATAAACAAACGTAACGTATCCGAACCTGTGGTGCCACGACCACTATTTCTGGCCGCACGAGAGCCAAGCAGAGTATATCAGAGCAATGTAGGACGCTGTAATCTTCCGAGTGGCAGTGTGCAGCACAATAGTCAGATATATCCCAACCAAACCTTACCAAACCTAGCCTACACAATCTGAACATAATCCAACCTAACCTGTCGAGACCACTACACCTGGCGTCCCCAGACACAGGCAGTGTGCGGTAGCGCAGGGTAGGGCGCAGATGTCCATAGAATGGCAGTGTGTAGGACAAAAGTCAAAGCAATCCTAATGTAACACAACGCAACCTAACCTAGCCGAACGTATTCTAACTGAGCCTATCGTGGCGCAACCACTTTTGCTGGCCTCTCGATGGTCGGGCGGAGTATAGTAGAGCAGTGTAGAGCGCAGAAATCGCCCGAATAGCAGTTTATAGCACAAAAGTCTAAGCTGTCATATCCTAACCTGACCAAGCCTAACGCCACCAAACGTCCTCACGTGCCGAGAATATTATTGCTTGCCCCTGCAGGGCGAAGCAGAGTATACTAGAGCAAAGTAGGTCGTAGTGATACGAAGCATTGCAGTTTATAGCACAGAAGTCGACGATATCCAAACCTAACCCGAGCTTACATAGCAAAATCCGACATAGACAAGCTCAACGTAACGTGTCGAGGACACAGTTGCTGACATCCCGAGAGTCGAGCTGAGTATAGTAGAGCAACCTAGAGCGTAGAAATTCACCGTTTAGCAGTGTACAGCACAACAGTCAAAACCATCGTAACCTAACATATCCTTACCTAACCAAAGCAAACGTAACGTAACTCAAGCAGAACATATAAGAGCACAGTGAAGCGCAGAAATCCACGGAGTATAGGTGTTTAGAGCAAAAGTCACTGCTATCCCGTCCTAACGTAACAAACCGTAATACAACCAAACGTAACAGACCTCAACCTAACGTGCCGCCGCCAATGCTGCTGGCCTACCAAGAGCCAAGCAGAACACATTAGAGGGGAGTAGGCCGCGGGTGTCCAGAGAAACCAACTGTGCAACAGAAAAGTCAAAGGTATCCAAACCTAACCGAAACTAACGAAACCTGACCTAACGTAGCCAAACACGACGTATCTTGCCAAGACCGCTATTGCTGGTCTTCCCAGGGTCAACACTATAGTAGAGCAACGAAGGCCGGAGGAATCCCCCGAATACCAGTGCATAGCACATAAGTCGCTGTCATGCTCTCCGAACATAACCAAGCGAAACATAACCAAAGGAAGATAGATTATCCCAACCTGCCTACACCACTATTGGTGTATTGGTGTATAGGTGTACATCAAAAAGGTTAATGCCACAATTTCCTAACCTAACGAA